GCTATTGTTCGGGACGAACAATACTTAGGAAGGGGCAGTGTTACGACAGCGGAAGTCACGTGACTGCTAACACGTCACGAGTTTCTAGAAGGATCATGTCTCTTCCTGGCAACTCTAGTCTTTTCTACGCAACCTCTATTTTAGTATATAAGCCGGCAATTAAAGCGGGGGAACAATTGCAGATAGGGAGATATAGAGACGGATAATCGAGTCAACCCTAAGTAAAGTGTGTAAATCGTTGTGAATTATAGCGTGTGTTTAAGTTAAAGTGACTGTGGAAATTCTGTGAATTATGAAGTTGTATCGAGAAATAATAAACTAGTTTTAATTAAGAAAGGACTTGTATCGCTAAAGTTTCATCGGAAAGAAATTATACGGGAAATTAACAAACGAACAGAGACGTAACACTATGTTTGACGACGATACACACAAGCACACGTGAAGAATAACATGATACAGTATTCATTACGTGTTTTTGCGTTTCTTCCATGTAACCAGTGTGTTTATCTATCCATTAGACAAGCTATTTCTCCAATTACCGTCGGGTATATCTTACACTCAGACGTTTCATATTTTCAATCGATCGTTCGTCTATAAATCCTTATGTTTGCCTGACCTTTAGAAAAACTATTTCTCTAATTCGTTTCATGTATCATACACTCAGATCGTTTCAACTGCTTGTCTATTCATCCTTCGGTTTGCCTATCCATTCTTTCATTGCGAGTCATCAATCTCTCTATAGGTCTAAGTTCCTAATCTCATGTTCGTCTTTATTTCCCAATTAAAATTATTTGGTATTTGTTTCCGTTATCTGTATTTTTATAATTTTATTTTTTGTCAAATGCCATTCTTTAGAGCTCTTTTATAGCAGAATGTGTGCGTGTGTGTGTGAATTATGACCATTTGTTTCTGAATAGATTGTTTTACGATGACAACATGTAATATAATTCATTTTGATTAGCCAGTGGGAGTTACAGTGTTTACGTTTATTTGTGAAAATAGCGCTAGTGAAAACCAGATTAGTGATCATAACATACAACAGTTTCAATATCGTCATAATACATAAATTACTACGTGAAAAAGGTGTATTTATCTATTACTTAAACTATTTGGACACGTAAGGCTGATATAATGAGAAACGGCTAACAGAGCGCTCTGTTTCGGTTTTAACTTGTTTTTTATTTGTGCTCAGATCTTCGAGCTTATCTGTACCTTGATTGTTAATATATGCTTTGCAAAACAAAGCTAGGAATAAAAGATTTGGTAAAACACTGTACACTATATCCGGACCCATCTCAATCTTCGTCGTCATCAATAGAATTATCTAAAAACTTATTGTGAAACATGTTATTTAATTTGTAACAATGCTATTTTCCCATTAAGTTTGATGGATCGGACGTGGCTCGGTGGCTAGCGTGCTCAGCTGTGAATCCGAGGGTTTATGGTTCGCGTCCCATTGCTGCAACATCGTGATTCACACTTTGGGCCTGTGGTTGCGTTATAAGAGTGATGGTCAAATCGCACTATTCGAATAGAGTAGCCCAAGAGTTGGCGGTGGGTGCTATTAACTAGCTTCCTTCCCTCAAGTCTATCAATTGAAAGTTAGGGATAGCTAGTTAAGATTGCCATTGTGTAGCTTTGCGCGCATATTGGAATCAAACCGAAAACATAACCAAAAATTAATTTGTATGTTTATTTGTTGTGCCCCCAGTGGCACAGCGGTATGTCTGCGGACTTCCAACGCTAGAAACCGGGTTTCGAGACCCGTGGTGGGCAGAGCACAGTTGGCCCATTGTGTAGCTTTGTGCTTAATTTACAAACAGATAAACAAACTTATTTGTTGTATTGTTAAGCGCAAAGCTGAAATGAGCTATTTGTGTGCGCTGTGCAAATCGTAAGTATTAAATCCTAATTCTAGCGTTTTTAGCTTTCACTCTTCTCGATTACCCTTATGAAAACATCCTGTAAGAGTCCTATCAATCAAATAATTATAAAATCTTATAAATACTCCTATACAATGAATATTTTATAGAAACGTTAGCACGAGTTTTATAAGACACACATTCCTATAAGACTTTTATAGTAATTCCATACATAAAATATATCACTAAGCCAATTAATGAAACATTAATTCCCTCCCCCCGGTGGGTCAGTGGTAAGTTTACAGACTTACTAACCAATAATATGGGTGTTTTGTTTGTGGAATGTTTAAACCTAAAATTTCCTTCAAGATATCAAATTTTCTTGATTAATTTGATATGCAAACATAACATATGTTCTCTACCTGCTTTTAGTCATTTGGAATTTTGTATTTTTTTCGTTTATCTCTGCAATTGATTATAGCATAAATACATAGTTTACAAATTCGTTGAATTTTACCTTGTTCTAGTTGCTTTGTTTTTTGTTCTCTATGGTAAATAATGTCTATTCTGCCCAAGTGATATTGTTAATACAGTGAATCTCGGTTGAAAAGGTCACTGACTGTAATATCCTTTATTGACTGAATGAATGATGTCTATGTCACTGCCAGTGAAAACTAACTAACTAAATACTCGGAAGATAAGCGTGGGTGCTCGGAAATATTGTAAGAGAACAAAGGTCAGGAGGTGAGACTGTCGACTGTAAAAAGAAACCGAGTTTACTTGTTGAATTTATACGGGCTTTCTAGGATCGATTCTACTAGGACATCTTTGAGTAAAGACCGTATTTGAGACCATCGTGTTTTAGTTCTGCGGAGATCAATTCTGACTAAACACCAGCTAGTAAATTATCAACTGTGGTCCTCTCTACTCAAGTATGTACGCTGTATTTTCTTTTTGTTTCATTCAAAACTCATCCAGTTTCATTATTTATTACACAAGAAGGTTCAGTCAAGTTTTCGAATACAGACTACTTCACAAGTTAACTGTTCTACCCTACTCTTAAAAGCGGATCTACCTATCTGATATGTGTGCGAAAATCAATTCAACTAAGAATACCATTTAACCATCTTAAGTGTTTTTTGTCTACCTTGTACAAATTATCCTCATATCATAAAGTCAAGACTGTTTAAATCTATCAGTACTGTGATTGAATCAATAGTTTTGACAGCCTCTAGAACTGAATTTCCAAATCTGTCAAGATAAAGGATTTTAATTTTCCCATATAATCCTTACTGTATTTCCTAGGACTGGCTTTCCAAACCAGTTAAGACAAAGGATTTTAGTTTTCCCATATAATTCTTACAATATTTCCTTAGACTGACTTTCTGAACCAGTTAAGACAAAGGATTTTAGTTTTCCCATATAATTCTTACTATATTTCCTTGGACTGACTTTCTAAACCAGTTAAGACAAAGGATTTTAGTTTTCCCATATAATTCTTACAATATTTCCTTGGACTGACTTTCTAAACCAGTTAAGACAGAGGATTTTAGTTTTCTCATATAATTCTTATAACATTCATTAAGAATGGCTTATAAGAATGTTAAAAATAATGGATTTTGATTTTCTCATATAATTCAAAAATGGTGAAAACAGACTCACATAAGAGGACAAGTTGATAGTATTTCACAATATGCGGGGGCTGAAAATAATCAATGCTACTATAGCAACTCGTATAAAAGGGAACGCGTGATGTACGACGTGATTGTTGCTAGGTGACAGAAACAGTTTCTTCTTCGAGGTGCGAGAGGGGATACATTTCCTCAGTATATCGTTGCAGGATATTATTTGTACTTTAAAACATTTTATTTATTTCCAACTTCACACGAAGTATACGTAAGTATGTTATTATTATTTCGTTAAATACATTTTTTATGCTAGAGTCTTATTTTAGTGGCGTATAAGAAGCTCTATTTTCAAATAATGTTTGAAAAATTATATAGAAGTTGTTATTTCGTTGACATGAAAAATAAGATATGAATGGATATTTTCCGCATGTATAGATATTATGTTGCAAGTACTGATTCGTGTGATACAAATATGTTGTTACATGTCGTGTAACCTAGTTTTTATTTGTTTAAGTTACCGTGTTTTCTTTAAGTTCTACCTGAAATTTCGATTTTTAACTGTCAACTAATTTTTACCACATTACACATTTCACGTGCAGTGTTTTTGTAGATGCATAATATTTTTAGCGAAAAAGAATCCGTATTTTGTGTTATATGCGTTAAAATTTGAAGACTATTTAGACAAAGCTTTGAAATCGTTAATTGTTATAACTAAGCTGTAAATGTACCGTGTGAATTAACTTTAAAAATGTAATATGCATATTTACCATAAGTTTCTCAAGTACTAATGGAATATTTTGTTTTAAGGCTTATTACATATTTTATTGTTTACAGTTATAAAAACAAGGATATCTTAAACTAATAAACATACATACATATTTTTCTTTCTTTTGACGGCCAGTAAGCATGCGACTTGTTAAGCCTAAACTGCACACGTGCTCCAGTTAGTCTTATAATCTTCTTATCCTGCAATTTTTGCAACCAGACGTTATTGCACTGTTTGACTCGTTATCAGTGTTACGCATCAGGTACGCATGGTATTGACGAGTGATTTATCTCTACCAACCATAGGCGGCGACACGATTTTTTTTTTGGGGGGGGGGGCACCTTGTTTATTATGTTAACCGTGACCATTGAATTCAAAGTTGAAACGGCGCATTTCCTTTATAATTGTACACAAATCTTTATGCTCCATATAAAGGGGCACTTTACTACCAGGTCGAAGTTTAGAGGGAAACCCCCCTCCTCCACACACACACTTTCTTATTCTGTGTTATATGTTTCCAGCTTAGATAAAATATGCTTTATTAAAAAGTTTAATCAACTCATTTTCAGTTTATATAAAATGCGTAACTGGTTATATTATTCTACTAATTTCAGTGTAATCAGAGAGATATTTACATAGACCTGTTCGAAATTCTTATTAGTATATGATTCTAAGCAACGTAGGCAAGTAGAGTCGGTGATAGGTTGAGCCACATCAGTTTTACGTAGGACGATATTGATTTTTTGTTATCACATTTGTTGCCATCTAGCGGACGTTACTTGAAACCCATGAAAAGCACTGTCAACAGGTCGTTAGTTTGCTGATTTCCGGAGCTGCTGTAAGGTTTCTAATACTTCTTCAGGAAATACTTGATCGTCAAACTCTACAGTCTTCGCTGTTTTTGTAAGTTGACACATTTTTGTTATCACCGTATTTCAAGAGTTAAAATGTTCGCTTGTTAAAAGTTTTACAAAATGTAGGTAATATCTGAGCTGATATAGTTTACAACCGCAGTACTCAGCTGATATAAAGGTATGGGATTTGTTATTCAATATGAGATGATATGTTTCCTATTTCAGACTGATTATATAATTGTAGTAACGTCGTTCAAGTGTATAATATACTTTTTTATTTCACAAAATGGGCAAAAATATCATAACAATCTTTAAAGAAATCAGTTTAGGCGGGAAAGTCGAAGTATAAGATGGAATCGCAGTGTATAAAAACTATCGATGTTTTCAATTTTAAAGCATACCATGTCCAAGATACGCGTTCACCAGAAACAAGCGACTCAAAGTTTGTTAGTTGTTTTCCAGATTATATCACTGTTTCAAATGATAATTAAATTTAATTTGTGTTGGTTGTTTTCCAAATTATATCACTGTTCCAAATGATGATTAGGTTTAATTTTTGTTGGTTTTTTTCCAGATTATATCACTGTTTCAAATGATAATTAAATTTAATTTGTGTTGGTTGTTTTCCAAATTATATCACTGTTCCAAATGATGATTAGGTTTAATTTTTGTTGGTTTTTTTTCCAGATTATATCACTGTTTCAAATGATAATTAGCTTTAATTTTAATTGCGTGCTTGATCTGTCCGAAGTCTAGTTTTGTGGAAGAATCCGGAAGAAATGTACAATAGAGACGTCACCTCAATTAACCACTAAGATGAAATCTGTTTTCAAATCCGACAATACCAACTCATTGGAGCCTGCCATTAGTTCATTCTTCTCTGGTATTCAGAAAGGAGGGGAAGGTAAGTGAAAAAAGACATCATTAACAGCTGTTCCTGTTGAAAATCAATAAACTATAAACGTTCAAAAGGAGTTTTTTATGAATAGTTAGAGCTCAGTGGTGCATAAATACTTGTGATTTGTATGCCAGTAGTGCGAAAATATTATATGTATTCAGCTTAATAATAGCTTTCCTATAATGCTGCTGATGTCATATGATCCGGATCTTTGGTTAGGAGACGTTCTTTCACCAGATCACGAAACTTTATTGAAAAATTTACTTTCTTTTAGGTCTAGGCATATCTTTGTTTCGTAGTCTGTTGGAAGGGGGTGGGTCCCCTGCATCCTCTCTCAGTTTTGTATGATTTCACTAATGCAGTCTTAAGTAGTGACGACTAGTCTCATAAATTAATCGTTAAAACTTTACTCACAGTGATTTCCTATCCTCGATTTTTCAAAAAAGCTCATTACTGTATTGGTTCTTACACCACGAAGAGCTTCGGTATTCACTAACAACGTAATAGAAACAAACGATAATCGTGAAGGAAAACTTAAAATGAAAAGATGGCAATTAAAATAAATGTAAAATGTAACTTTAGATAAAATGTGCGTGTATGCATACATAATAAAAATCTACCTATGTATATATCGAGCAGGAGATACAGTTAAGTAACATTATCCGTTAAAGGAAAAAAGAGCGTTAAAAATTGCCTGGCCAAACCATTAAAGATAAACAAATACTAATTTAACGAAAAAAATCTTTCTTCGTAGAAAAAAATAAAGAAATGGTAGCAACAGGATAACAAATGGCACCAGCATACAAGCCACATAGTAGCAACAGGATAACAAATGGCACCAACATATATGCCACATAGTAGCAACAGGATAACAAATGACACCAGCACACAAGCCACATAGTGCGAAAATATAAAGTCTAACCTAGTTTTGGAGATGTGTACGGAGGTAGGACCCACATGACGCTGGAGATATAACAGTCTAGCAGACATACCCCCCCCCCCTTCCAGAGCCGCCTCACAAACTAAAACAATAAAATAAAGAGATAATAAAAACGAGTAAAAAGATGTTGTGCGCTTAAAGGTCAGAACATTCTATGTCCTTGCCACTATTCACCTAGAAGCCTTTTGTTGTTGTTTATTTTGGGGCGGACCCCCTAAGCTCGGGGGTGACAAATGAGAGTTTTGGAGAGAGATTTCTAGTCAGGCCGTGTTAACACACATGTGCAAATTACGCCATAGCTTAATGGGGCCCACACGATGTCAGCATTCTTTACCCTTCCTCTCAAGACTTTTGTGAAATGACGCTCCCGTTTTTACTGTCTGGATTATTTTTGAAAAGTGGCAGCTCTCACACATAACATAAGAAAAATATACTACTAGGGGGTGAGGTGGGGGTTAAGTAGAATCTTATCTCCAGAGGTTGGCATTCCAGGCCACGTTGTAGTATTGTTGAAAATACTATACGTATAGGGTTGTCAAAGAATTTAAATTGTTTTGAAGTGTGATCAATTTCATGAAAGTAAAATCAAATTTACTATTTATTAAACAGATATAACAACTTTTAATTATATCAGCGTAATAACTTTGACAGATCTCGTACATACGCGTCATAGTTTGACAAGTGCAGAGCTATCCACAAGAGGGAGCTATTGGTATAGTGAGCGCTACGTCACAATAATAACCAACATAGAATGTATGCGTTATTCTTCACTGTGTTATTTCATTATTTAAACAGATAAAACACATGAGCGGTACTCTGGATGATTTGCGACTCTTATAACTAGTGTTCCATTCCTGCGAAGGACGCGACGTAGGCAGACTATTGTGATAAACACGAATAAATTAGGGTATCTGCAGTCATTATTTTTCTTTTCAAAATATTAATGAAGCTCTGTTTTTGTCACTTTCCGTATAAGCTCAAGACTTGTGCACGAATTATATAAACTATTCTATCTAAGCAGAACTTGAATTACTTGTCCTTCTTCCCCTCTTTTAAATTGCGCCTGTATTTTAACTAATAATCAGAAATAATGCTTTCAGTGTTGAAACACACAAACTACACGACACTTATCTGCGTATAATATTTCACGATGTGGTGGATACATGTTGAAATAAGCCTTGTTATTATTATCTCTGCTTTTATTCTGTATTTGTTAAAAGCGTGGTGAAGATATAAATTGCTGCTAAATTGTTAAGTGCTTTTTTTATTTCGGTGACTTTTAAACGTCTCGCGGCCTGCGAACTTTATTGATTTTGTTATATAATGAATGATAAAGGAATGCTGTGAGTTGAATCGAGAGTAATGCCGACGATTTCTTTGTAGTTTGCCCAAACTTTAGCATATATTTATTTATAATATCTGCTAGTAACAGCGTAAAGTGTTTATTCACAGTAGTGTCACATGTCAGTTTGACGTGATACAGACAAATGTTAAAGTTGAAACAAGTGCTCCGTCAGGTTTCTACTGGAACTATACAAAATATTATTAGGTTTTTGAATAATGGTTATTCTAAGTGTATTATCGTCAATTCTTAAAATTCGGAATATTTCTTTTCTGTACCTATAAGCAGTTGCATTTTCGAATAGTTAGTGAACCAGCTTGCGTAAGAACTCTTACAAATGATTAAAATCAATGTTGATTAAGTAACTTTACGATATAATTACACGCTTTCCATATAAGTCATACATGATTTACCGGAGATCATTATGTTTGCGTTTGATAAAATGTTAAAGAAATATCACAGAAGTATTTGTTTAAAGGCATTCATATGTATTTCCAGATAAAAATGATAATATTGTTGACGTGCATGCACTGACTGGTCACTTTATTAGGGTTCCTGACCTAATAGCAGGTTGGATCACCTTGCGGTGCGATAATAAACTAATATAGCATAGACACCACTAAATACCGGAAGATGTCCTGTTCTATTGTAACCTAGTCATCTGTGTTTGTTTCACAAATGCCAGTAGAGGATTATTATCGTTAATTTGACACACAAGTTCATCCCAAAGATGCTCAGTCGATTGTGATCCTGTGACTGTGTTGGTTAAGAAAGGTGACCGATGTCCTTAGTTGGTTGTAATCCCGTGACTGTGTTGGATAAGAAAGGTGACCGATGTTCTTAGTTGGTTGAGATCCCTGTGACTGTGTTGGTTAAGAAAGGTGACCGATGTCCTTAGTTGGTTGAGATCCCGTGACTGTGTTGGATAAGAAAGGTGACCGATGTCCTTAGTTGGTTGAGATCCCGTGACTGTGTTGGATAAGAAAGGTGACCAGATGTCCTTAGTTGGTTGAGATCCCGTGAGTGTGTTGGATAAGAAAGGTGACCGATGTCCCTAGTTGGTTGAGATCCCGTGACTGTGTTGGATAAGAAAGGTCACCAATGTCCCTAGTTGGTTGAGATCCCGTGACTGTGTTGGATAAGAAAGGTCACCGATGTTCTTAGTTGGTTGAGATCCCGTGACTGTGTTGGATAAGAAAGGTAGCTAATATCTCTGTCATGCAGGCTCTTCGACGAATCCAGTAGTCTAGATCAGGGGTTGTCAAAATTTCTTAGCACTAGTCCTCGCAGGACATTCCGCATCATGACTGAGGCTCCCCACCCAATTAATTTATAGATATTTAGTACCTTTCTTTCATTATAAGCAACATATATAAATAATAATAATATTTTAACATTTTTAGGTCTGGCATGGCCTGGTAGTTAAGACGCTCGACTCGCAATCTGAGGGTCATGGCTTTGAATCCCTATCGCCAAAAATATTCGCCCTTTAAGCTGTGGGGGCGTTATAATGGGACGGTCAATCTCACTTTTTGTTGGTAAAAGAGCAGCTCAAGAACTGGCGGCGAGTTGTGATGACGAGCTTCCTTTCCTCTAGTCTATCACTTCTAAATTAGGGACGGCTAGCGTAGCTCATGTAGCTTTGCTCGAAATTCCAAACAAACCAAACCATTTAAGATTTGTTGATGTAACTTTAGCAGATTTGCTTTTTGACATTTCACGCGCGAGTTTCTTTTGTTAAATAATTTTGTGTATTCGATATCCACTCTTCTGAAGATATCAATAGACTCACCTTTGGCTTCAAGAACGATTCCCACATAATTATACCATGTCCAACAGCTTGAACAACTGGAACATTACGACTAAGATCAAGTTCCTTTTGTATTGTTTTTCTTCCTTCATATTGCTACTTCACTTTCGGCACTATAAAGGGTGAAATTACATCACATGCTTCAGTCATTCTTTGACAATTGTTGTGTTTCTAAGCACATCTTAAGCTGTTTCTCTGTGTGCATCTGAGAAAGTAGTGTTTTGGACTAATTGTCGACTTCCATGTGACAGTTTTTGAAGTTTTCCGCGTGGTATAGGTTGCAGATATTCGAATTCTATTGATTAGCAAAGGAATCGGTCTGTTGGAAAATAACAAAAAATACTGGTGTTTATATCACTTTTTAAGTCTGATTATCTGTATTTTCTTTCACTCAATCACCAGTGATCCGCAGCCGCTTTTATTTTCAGTACCATGCATATTTCCAATTCAATTACTACTGATAATAGACTCTTAGAACAGATGTTTTGTGAACAGCCAATTGAAGAAATGGCTTCAACTGGTGTCCAGTAATAGTGCACAGTTGAAAAAATGACATTGGTAATAATGGCTCCGATAAGAATCGCACTGGTAAAGATTTTTTTATTAAGCTTACTTAAAAAGTTAAAAGAACTTTTTTTTTCATTTTCGGAAGAACCTGAACCATTTTTTGTCCACTTTGCATTATTACTGGTGTCATTCTTTCCGTTCTTTTTCTCTCTTGATCGTCTAATATAATACCCCTTCGAAAGTCGACGAAATTCTTTCTCTTATCCTAATGTGAACTAAAATGTTTTTCAAGAAATGTTTTATGTAGATAAATTAATTGTAATACATGTTTTATACGTATACGGGTGCTATTTAGGGGTGTGATTGCACCCACTTCATCCCTCTGCCTAGGCACATGCTATGACTTAAGTCTTATAGCTTGTTGTTTTATAAATAAGCTTTTTAAATTTAATAGTTAAACTCATTGAAGTGGTATACATCAATAATTCATGCTATATTGCCCCCCAGTGGCACAGCGGTATGTCTGTGGACTTACAACGCTACAGTACATTACTATAACTACAAGTTAATAACCTCATGCACGTACTAGTCGTTGGAGACTTGTCTTCTTTTCAGTTTATTATAAATTTTCAGTTTCAGGGGTAAAAACCAATTAACACCTAAACACCCTGATAAATTTTGCAACTCCTCTTACCACCTGGAACCCAGTACTAAATTAATATAGAAACGCAGAGAGAGAGGGAGAACAAGGAGTAAAATATGAACAATTATAAATAAGATAATAAACTTATTTATTTATTTCACCATTTTGATTATTTATCTAGACTAGTCGCAGTGTTAGTTCCAGGATTGAACTTGGGTTGCTAAGGCTAGAAACTTGTGACATCGTTGCAAGGGCAAGCAGTTAAATATGATCTTCCAGTGAGTGGCCCGCGTAATGTTTGTTTGTTTTGAATTTCGCGCAAAGCTACACGAGGGCTATCTGCGCTAGCCGTCCCTAATTTAGCAGTGTAAGACTAGAGGGAAGGCAGCTAGTCATCACCACCCACCGCCACTTCCTGGGCTACTCTTGTACTAACGAATAGTGGGATTGGCCGTCACTTTATAACGCCCCCACGGCTGAAATGGCGAGCGTGTTTGGTGGGACGGGGATTCGAACCCGCGACCCTCAGATTGCGAGTCTAGTGCCCTAACCACTTGGCCATGCGTAATGAAAGTACTGAAAGTGCATTTAAACGAGAATGTTTAAGTTTGATTCGTTGAACAAAATAATGATGTGTAAAAGACTGAAAGTACTGAGAAATTACCATTGTTAAGGGTATGTGTGTTCATTGACTAAAAACCTGCAATACCCAGAAGCAGCTGTTGTGACGACTGTCTCTTTCAGCTGCATCACTCATATCTAGTCTAGCCCAGCAGTATACAGGTTCTGGACAAAGCGTTAGCATCTGGATGTGGCATTTCACCTGTAATTTGTTTCTACTTGCTGGTGAATTTCTTCGTGATTTTTATTCTGTCTAGGAACGAAACTTTAAGAAACAAGATAGCGTTTTCACAACACTTTATCCAATATCAGGTTCATATAAAATGTGATTTTATGCTGTGCAAGGTTTATACAAAATGTGACTTTATGCAGTGCAAGGTTTATACAAAATGTGACTTCATCTATTGCAATGTTATACAACATGTGAAATTGCCTTGTGCAAAGTATATATATTTATTCATCACAGTATCTTATTGTGTTTTATAGATGATCGGACTTAGACTAGTGGTTCACTTAATTGTGTTTTGTTTTTCAAAAACGCGCTCCGCACTTTGGGGCTGTGGGTGCATTAGAAGAGTGACTGCCAAAATCCCACTATTCGGTCAGATGATAGTGGCCCAAGAGTTGACTAGCTGCCTTCTCTGTGGTGGTGTGCCAGTTCATAATTAATGACGGCTATGCAGATATAAACCGTGTATAGTTTTACGCGAAATTCTAAATAAACAAACACATAAATCTTATCAATATTTAGTTACATATAAAATGTGTAGCCATATTTTTTTAATGCCTTAACACTCATTTGTTGTTGAAGCCATAGATAGTAGTGACTTTCGGATCTTTGGCATAGATGCTAATACTAAAACAACATGGATGGTGTATATATATGTGTGTGTGTGTGCGTGTGTGTGTGTGTGAGAGAGAGAGAAATAATTAGAAATCTGGACTCACCAATACATAACTGAACACTATACAGATATAATGAGAAGAAGAAAAAACTAAGATAGTGAAATAAAATAAAAATATGATACTTTAAATAAAATACTAAATCAAATCTTGAAGGTTCCAGATACATTAAAACTAATAAAATATAGTCCCCCGTTAGGATAAGAGTAAATTTACGGACTTACAATGCTGAAATCCGTAGTTCGATTCCTTGCGTTGGACACAGCAGATAACCCAATGTGGCTTTGCTCTAAAAACAAACAAATAACATATATAACGTTGTATTTATTTTTAGAGCTACAAAGGTCATTCAACGGTGTGACCACAGACGAGGGAACTGTTCGTTCGAGCTTTGGCCTAATTGAGACTCGAAACCAAAATTCGATTGATATTTGTGAATTGTTTGTACGTGAACTGGATACTTAAGAAATATCTCTTGTAATTAGATTTAGATTTTCTAATTTGGAAGATTAACGATAGAAAGAGACGATTGAGTTAGCAATCTGTTTCATACAACATTTTTAATTTTCTTTAGACAGAATCTATCTGTCTTTTTATGTATCCATGTCTGTTTAGCTATCAGTTTGTTTGTTGTATCCCAGCTGGCCAGTTGAGCCCTGGTATTGTGCGAAAGACCTCCTCGGCACTAGATATAGTGTGATTGACATATTGCTGTGCATTATTTTTTACTTTCACTCATAAATTCTTAGAACATCTATCTATTCAGAGTTTGTTTGTTGGGGTTACCGAGTTTTGATTAACTTTTGTTTAGTTAACATTAATTCTTAACTTTTTTTCCATTAGCAACAGATAACCTATTGTCGACCACCAGTAAAGAAGAAGATGTACTAAAATCGTTATCTCTGAAAGCTGTGAAGCATGAACTGGATACCAAAGTTGAGGTGAATAGCTCGTTCATTTGCATTACTTTAGGTTTATTGCGTTAACTTTTATCAGTCTCGTTTCTGTTACTAATTAATACTGTCTCATGACTCATTACTCACATTGACGCATCACTTGTCACCCAAATTGACCAGCTGTTTATTTACTATAGTCTTAAGATCGCTTACGTCATCTGGATTGCTTTATATTGCATTGGATTTTTTTCCCCCTGACACTGTTAGTGTGTAAATACGTACAGTCTTTCCTTTCTGAATGCCGTCCAATCTGCTTGTGCTACCTTCAGTCCTCCAATATTATATCGAACATTGTCTTCTGTTTCATCTTTGTTTTATTCATCATAGACGAACTGCCTAAACCATCTATACCAGCATTGTTGATCGTACGTTAGGAAAAAGATGGCCGCTTTTCAGTAACTCAAAATTTAATTAAATATACAATTCTTTTGTAAGAAAAAAGTTTCTCAAATGTAACATATTGGAATTTTGTCACAATTGATGTAAAGGACAATGACACCAACAAAAGATTTTCTGGTATTTATCAAGACATGTCCATTAAAACCATTGATATCTAATATAATAAAATAGCAGGTGGCGTTTCATTGTTGCCCATATCTGTAGAATTTACAAAGTCAGCCTTCAAAAAATGATGTTGAGAAACAACGACACCACTGAGTTGACATTTTCCCTATACATCAAAGTCTAAACCTAAACAACTAAAACATGTTATTTTTTTCTTTCTTTCTATTCTGTGGTTCAGGAAAAGGAAGTTATAAGAGTTTGTAATTGCTCAGGACAAAGTTTGGTTAAAGTCTTGTGTTTCTTCTTACAGGAAATTACCTTTTTTGTTGTTGTTGTGTGAAATCAAACCGGCAAATAAATCTGCTTAGTCTTGCTGACACGAAATTGTTTTATTACTTTCATACTGGACGAATAAGGTTTAAATTTGTCACAATAATTGGACTTTTAATATTTATTAATAACTTTCGAATAGAGGTAAGTCGATACTCTCAACAGAATCGACACGGTTTATGATAAAATATAACGAAGCCAAATACAATGTGTTTAGTATGCTTATTTCCATAGTATGGAAATAAGAAAATGACGTTCATATTATCACGCTTAAGACAAACTGGTTAAGGAGTCTGAAGGCCCGGCATGGCCAGGTGGTTAGGGTGCTCGACTCGCAATTTGTCACACCTGTCACACTAAACATGCTCGCCCTTTCAGCCGTGGGGCGTTATAATGTGACGGTAAAAGAGTTGGCGGTGGGTGGTGATGACTAGTTGCCTTCCCTCTAGTCTTACACTGCTAAATTAGGGACGACTAGCGCAGATAGACCTCGTGTAG